CATATTATGCATTACATACACAAATACAAGATATGCCCTTCCAGTGACCATTGTCACAATTACTAAATTGTCATAGATTCCACTTCTCCTATTCACCTAGTAACTGCCACTGCCCTCTGCACTTGTCAATTACAGCAGAGCTCTACCGACCACAAGGTCGCTTGTTCTGTGAGGAATGAAATTTTAGGACCATCAAACTGGTATTGTAGAGCAAATAGGTAGCCATTGATAAAAAAAAAAACTACCACAGTAAAAAAAGTGATCTCCAAACAGTCATGTTTGAATTTGTAAATAGGTTGTACATATGCTAATTAGAGGAGTATATAAACAAGAACTGAATTACATGTACTGTATATTTTTGTAAAGCATTTATTTTGTTTTTCACTTCCTCTTCATCATAGACTGATTGTTGGCAAACTGTTTGCCATAAAGACAAATAAATGATCATGAAGACAAATATAAAATGATGAGACTTGCCAAATCTACTACAAATTGATGTCACTGTATAATTAGGTAAAATGTACAGGAACTATTAGTGTTGAAAAGTGAATATTATGTAGAGAGTATATTACCGGTATGAATATTGCAGTTAAATCTGGTTTGTGTTCAAAATGACCGACTCAGTGTCTCAATCCAAGTGAAAGTGACTGACTCGGTGTCTCAACCTCAGTGCAAGTCGCTATGACTTAGTGTCTCAACCCCAGTGAAAGTCGCTGATACAGTGTATCAACCACATTCAAAGTCTTTTTTTTTTTTTAAATGTTCTTGTGCCAAGGCGACATTTCCGGACATTGAATGTCATTGTTGTCTCTCCTGACTTTTTTTTGTAAGTGCAAATTGCAAGTGCTAGTGCTGACACATAGTGCATTTTGCCACAGAAGTCATTCCCTGTTTGGGACTACATGACAGGGCTGTGTGGCCATCTCCCTATCAAATGGCAATTTTAATGCGCTATTCTGGCTTCAACCAGGCCCGGTCGAACACAAGCACCTGCGGACCTTAACCAAGGTTCCCCCAAAGTCGCATTCATTAGTGAATGAATCTCGGCCAGTGGAAATGACCTTCCCATTGAGTCTGTGGCACACTCACCCAGGGTAGGGGTGGACCCTTTGATGTTCAGCCTAAGGTAGGATTTGAACTGGGGTCTACCGATCATGAGTCTGATGCGACAACCACTATGCTAACAGTGACTGGTATCCACATTCAAAGTCACTAACCCAGTGTCTCGACCCCGATGAAAGTCAATGACTTGGAATCTCAATCCCAGTGAAAGTCAATGACTTGCTGTCTCAACCCCAGTGAAAGTAACTGACTCAGTGTCTCAACCCCAATGAAAGTCAATGACTCGGTGTCTCAACCCCAATGAAAGTCAATGACTCGGTGTCTCAACCCCAGTGAAAATCACTGACTTGGTGTCTCAACCCCAGTGAAAGTAACTGATTCAGTGTTTCAACCCCAGTGAAAGTAACTGACTCGGTGTCTCAACCCCAATGAAAGTCAATGACTCGGTGTCTCAACCCCAGTGAAAGT